AAAGAGAGAAAAACTTGCAGGAAGGTCACTGCAAAGAAAAATCAAGCATGCACCCCGCACCCTTGCTAACGTCGTGACAAACTCCGTCATGACTGCCCGGCGCACCCGCTGCGATGTTGCGGGAAAAAAAAACAAGAAGAAACGAGAAAGGCGCATAGGAAGCTGACTGCAAGGAAAAAACACGTACACCCGCCGCCTTCACTACAAAAAAACAACCACGTACACCCGCCGCCTTCACTACGTCTCGACAAACTCTCTCATGTCTGCCTGGCGCACCCGCTTAGCGACATGCGCTGCGATCATCGCCATTTTTGCTTTCTGCAGATGGAACGCCGCGTCTCCATTGCCACTCTCATCTGCTGCCGATTCCAGGACGCCGAAGTGAGGTGACAGCTCACTATAAGCCGGTAGAGCACGGCGCTCGCGCCCCGTGTCCTCACCGCCACCGCCATCTTCCGTTTCATCTTCCTCATCGTAGCCGGAAGAAATTTCTTCTTCGTCGGGCGTTGAGATGGTCCCGCCCCAGCACCCTCAGCACCCTCAGCTGGTATCTCTTTGCGCTTGCCAGCTCTTGCGACGCACGAGCAGCAGATTCGCCTTGTTTCGATGTCGCCAACCATGCTGCCGCAGTTGCCGTGGAGCCGCCCGCCACATCCTCCATGACAGACGTGGCCATGAGGGGCTTGCGGCGTCTTGTCTGGTTGGTGGCACAGCTCACCGTCCGCACAAGGCATGGTGCGCCTCTGCGCTGCGTACAGCTCTTCGGGTCTGCAGCAGCACGCGCGCCGCGTTTGTGTTGCGTCTATCCGCTGTTCGTGAGTGTGTGTCTTGTTTTTCTCTTGATCGCGTGTGTGTGTGTGTGTGTGAATGTTTCTCCACCTGCACTATTGCGGGGCACCGCGGTGCCCAACCTGCACTATATCGGGTATCTGCCTCAATAGTGCAGATCCTGCACTATTGAGGGCGCCGTCTGTGCGCAGAGATTTTACCTGCACTATATCGGGCGGTTGCACTTTTCAAAGTGCACTATAGGGGGCCCACTACTGTATCTTTCAATCCGGATTCAGGCCCCGAGATTGAAGATAGGGGGGTGATGTGAATGCCACCTCTGACTGTCGTAGATTGTGACGTCAGATGACCTGTCGGAGATCTACCTTCGGGGTGTTACCACAGATAGAGTCAGTGCAGGTTGGATGCTGAACCTTGCTTCAACACAAGGTTGATCCCCACCTGCCACACACACACTCAACTCAACGTTCCGTACATCAGCCTCTCCACCAGAGGTTGATCCGGTGTGTGTCCACGCCGCCCATCCCTAAGGGAACTTGCTCACACGCGAACCTGGAGACAACAGTTTCATGCTTAGACCATTCTATATATATATATGCGTTTGTATGTCCTGACCGCAACTAACTCCTGCTGCTGTACTGCTGACAGACCTCCTCCAGTGTATATTTCCTGGACTGCCGTTTTCTCCGACGCGTTGTGCAGTGAGGGCGGTCCTGGAATCATGGCATGGCGTCTATACATGGCGGGCACAGTACTCATATAGTCCATCCGCTTAAGACTCAACCCAGTCACACGATCATATCCGCCAAGACCCAAACCCAGTTTACGCAACAGCAGCAAAAATACAAGTTTTTTCAAATGATTTACGTACAGTTGTTGTTGTTGTTGTTGTTGACTTCACATTAAACCGTATGCCAGNTGGGCACAGTACTCATATAGTCCATCCGCTTAAGACTCAACCCAGTCACACGATCATATCCGCCAAGACCCAAACCCAGTTTACGCAACAGCAGCAAAAATACAAGTTTTTTCAAATGATTTACGTACAGTTGTTGTTGTTGTTGTTGTTGACTTCACATTAAACCGTATGCCAGTTGCTAAATGCCAAAATCTAGCAAAGACTCTCGGCCCGTGGTCACGAAAGTGCTGGAGC